AAAAAAAAAGACCAGAATTACTGGTCTTGTAGAGACTGACAGAAATTCCAAGACTATGGCCCTTTGTCAGTCTTCAACTTAGAACTGAAACCCTCCCAGAGATCACCTTTCAGACAAACAACAGACAGGCCTAAAATGTTAAGCACACCCATCAGGAATGTGCTCCTCTAAATAATCAACCATCCAAAATAAAAAGGGTAATATTTGTTTAAAAAAAAAACTCAACCAAAAAACCAAACACCGAAGTTCAGAAGGATAGTACAAGCAGGAAATAGGGACAATTAGAAACAGGGAAAACAGGAAGCAGAAGAGCATTACATTAAGGAAGGTGCCACTAACATCACAAAATGAATATAAATTACTGAATAGGAAATTCATTTCTTCTATAAATGGCCATTGTCTTTACAATTATTTACTATCCACAAGAAGGCTGGACAATGACTGAGTATGACAGAAGACGAATTAATGCCTTCGAGTTGTGGTGCTGGAGAATACTGAACATACCATGGACTGCCAAGAGAACAAACAGGTTTGTTTTGGAGAGGGTAAGACCAAGTTGCTCTTTGGAGGCAAGGGTATTGAAGCTCCATCTCACATTCTTTGGGCACATGGCAAGAAGGGGCCAGGTCTTGGAGAAGGAAATCATGTTTGGAAGGGTAGAAGGACACATCAGGAAAAGAAGACCCTGAATGAGATAGATTGACACAGTAACTGGGGTAATGGGGTTAGGTGTGTCAGAGACAGTGAGGCTGGCTCAGGATAGGACAGGATTCAGAGCTATTGTACTCAGGGTTGCTATGAGTCGCTGGCAACTTAATGGCATATAACAACAACAACAACAACAAATGCAAATCATAATAAAAAAATGAATAAAATATTCATACACATACAAACACATGTGGTATAAATGGCTTTTTCTAGTCACTTAGTTCAGTACTTAGTTCTTCTTACAATCTATCTAGATGTCTACTTTCTAAACGTGAAGAGGACTTGAAGTACCTACTGCAGAAGATAAAAAATTTTAACCCTTCAATATGACTTAGATGTCAACATCAAGAAAGCAAAAATGCTTTCCCATTGGACCAACAGGCAAAACATAGAGATAAAAAGGGAAAAGACTGAAGGTGAGAAAGGATTGAAGGATTTAATTTTACTGGGTTCCACAATCAACTCCATGAAAGCAGCAGTCAAGAAATCTAAAGATATATATTGCCCATGTATTGGGCAAGACATATATTGCCCACATATTGGACAAATCTTCTGTCAAGGACGTCTTTAAAGTACTAAAGGCCAAAGATGTCAGTTTAAAGACAAAGGTATGCCACACCAAAGCCACAGACTTTTCAATTGTTTGAAATGTATGTGAAAGCTGGACAATGAGCAAAATGGAAGATTTGGTGATTTTTAATTGCAGTGTTAGCAAAGAATATTAAATATATCACATATTGTCAAAAGAACAAACAAACCTGTGTTGGAAGAAGTACAGCCACGAGCTGTTTAGAAGTGACTCTGTTTCACATATTTGGGGCATGTTTCCAGGAGGCACCATTTCTTGGAAAAGGACATCAAGCTTGGAAAAGTTGAGAGTAATCAAAAGAGGGAAACACCTTTAACAAGATGTTGACTCAGTGACTGCAACAATAGGCTTAAACCGAGCAGAACTTGTGATTTTGGCACAGGATTGACCAAATCAATCTGTTGTACATAGGGTAGCTATGAGTTGTGGCTGACTCAGTGGCATCTAACAGTCTAGATGTCACACAATTATTACCAATTAAAAGTCTAATTAATGCCTTCCTCTACAAAACTATCAAAAATGAAAAAGGTATTTTAGCAAAATCATACTGACCTGGTGCAACTACATTCACTCTAATTTTTTTTCTTGCTACCTCTTTCGCAAGAGCACGAGAGAATCCAACTAATCCTCCTTTACTCGCACTGTACACAGACTGGCCAGAATTGCCTTTAAGACCAACAATACTTCCTATTAAAAAAAAAAAAGAAAGAAAGAAAGAAAAATGTAAACAAATTAAATTATTTTAAAATTCATATACATTACACTGAACAATAAAAGAACAAAACCATTTTACCTGTCCTTCACTAAAATAAATTCTAGCTAGTCATATAGCAAAAGTTTGAGTTCCAGTAGTCTGCTCCAGGAATATACAGAAAACGGGATCTGAAAGAGGTTGATGTAAAGCTTCAGCTGCTGATAGGAGCCTTGAGGCTTGACCATTTTGGTGAGAGATTGCTGTTTCTAACTCACAGCGATCATAGGTAAAATGGAATGAAACACTGCCCAGCTCTGCATCATTCCTGCAGTCATTGTGACGGGTTGAGCTCATTGTTGAAGTCACTGTTTCAATCTATTTCAAGGGTCTTCTTTTTCTTGGTCTTTCCTGATAGCATATCTAAAGTATATAAGATGAACTCTTGTAATTCTCACTTCTAAGAAGCCTTCTGGTTTTGTTGTTATTGTTGATTGCCATCAAGTTGAGCATGACTCATAGCGATCCTAAGAAAAAAAAAGCCTGAAGCCTTTCTGTAACTATCACTTATCAAAGTTCATAGAGTTTCCAGAGGCATGCTGTTTAGGAAGCCGATGCCACTCCCTCTGGCTTTACTCCTTACAAAACAGATTTGTTTCCTCTTCTGACAGTCCATGGGATACTGAAACTAGACAAAGAATAAAAGGTAGCTGAAAATACCACTACTTGGTTTAGCACTGTATCAGTCCTCACCGTGGCATCTTTAATACTTTAAAGAGGTCTTTTATATCATATTTGCCCAAAGCCATACATCATTTGATTTCTTAACCACTTTCAAGGCTTTTGATTGCAGATTCAAATAAAATTAAACCCTTGATAATTTCAATATTTTATCAATTTATCATGATTTTGTGAAGATTTTTGTTTATTTATATTGAGGTGTGATTCACACTACAGGCTTTAATCTCGACCAATAAATGTTTCAAGTTTTCACTTCCAGGTAGCTGTATTCCAAATTTCTTAGAATAAGAGACTGACTTTCATCTGAGAAAGTCAGATATGATAAAAACCTAGCAATGTTTACAAGGTTTCCAGGCGGAAGAGGTTAAGAACCAGAAAAGTCAAATAAAATATAAGTAGTTTTATGACTACCATACAACCATAAGGTATTATTCATTTCCACTTTAAAAAAATAGTGAGTGGAAGATAAATATCATTAAATTTTAGCTACTATAAATCTAAATTACCAAAGATTTAAGTGTAAAACCTTTCTATAAAACCATACCTCAAGTTACTTTCAGTATTATAACATGTGCTGCCTAATAAAGACACTTGGATGGCTTTAGTGAGAAAAATTTGTAAGAACAATTTATAATTCAATTATCAACAGTATGCAAATAAATGCTAGCAAAACAAAATTGAGGGAGTAATTTTCTGCACCACTAACCTGTACTTAAGACATAAAAATGTATAAGGAAACTGATATTTTTAAAAGTAATTTTACTTGAGAAAAAAGAAAATACTCCAAAATCCTTTTTTATCATATAGTTTAATACTAAAACATCTGTCCAAATTATATACTATGAGAAGTTTGTGGCAAAGGAAGAAATCTTTGAAATCTTGAAAAAGAAGAGGTGACACCAACTAGAGGGAAAGTAGATAGGTGAACAGAGAAGTCTCTGGGAGAAAGAACAACACTGAAAGCAAAAAAAAAAAGGGGGGAGGAAACCCCAAAAATATGTCAGGTCAAACAGTAAGCTTCAGAATTATACCACATACTGCTGTTCGAGTCAAAAGCTACTGGCATAAGGGATAACTTTTTTTTTCCAAATTAACAAAGTTTATTTTGAGTTCGAACCCAGGCTCCCGCGTGCTGACACAGCAGCATCCACCCGAGAGCCAAGGGGTAACTTCTGAACTATCAAATGAACTTTCTTGCAGTTTATAGCAGACCTATTAGTAATAACATTCTCTTAGCTTAATTTCAATTATCTATTTTTAAGAAGAAGTAGTTTAAGAAATGCTGAGAGAGATCAGCCCTTTTTGTTTTCTGACTCCAGCTCTTTGAACATTTCATTATAATACATTGCTTTGTCTTTCTGAGCTGCCCTTTTAAATCTTGTTTAGCTCCTTAATGTCCTGATTCCTTCCCTTTCCTTTGGCTTCTTGGTGCTCTAGTGCAATATTCAGAGTCTCTACAGATATCCAAATAGTCTTTCTACTTCCTCTGTCTCTGTAATGACCTCTTGCTTTATTCATGAATGATATTCTTGATCTCCTCCCAAAAGTCATCTGGTCTTTGTTCATTAGTGTTGAAGGCTTCAAATCTGTTCCTGAGGTGATTTTTAAATTTAGGTGAGACAGGCTCAAAGTCAAGTTTTTGTTCTTGTAGTCGTGATTTTTTTTTTCTGCTTTAGTTTGAACTTGCGTATGAGTAATTGATGTTGTAGTCCACAATCAACACCTGGACTAGTTTTCACAGCCAATATTGAGCTTCTCCAGTGATCATTTCCACAAGTATAGTTTATCTGATTCCTGTTTGTACCATCAGGTGAGGTTCATCTGTATAGTCGCTGTCATGTTTCTTTTTTATTTTTAATTTTATTAATTTTAACAAACATATAGAGAGATCTTGGATTTCCATTCATTCATTGTTGCACTTTTCTCCCTGCCCACCCTCCACCCCAGTTTGCTCCTCTCTTTGAAAATTAAAAGAAAAATTCCTTCATTGGTATACAATCCCCCTGCCTCAGTACACTCCACTATGCAACCTTAATTCTGGACTCTTGTGATAACCATAATACCCTATCATATATCGCTTTTAAACTGTTCTCTCCCTCCTCTGTTTCAATGCAGTATACATAATTTACCCAGTTTTTCTCAGTCTTAACCCAACTCTTACAAAACGTATTTGCAATGAATAAATAATTAACTATACAAAATCCTATTATTCTATCTCCAATCCATTTCTGTCACAAAGTCCATGCTTTCCAACTATTGATCCTTCTTCCTTACCCCTAACTTTTGCATTCCAGTCACCCATTATTATTAATGCATCTTGGTTGCACGTTGGATTAATTTTGGACTGCAAAAGTTGGTAGAAATCATCTATTTCCTCTTTGGCTCTGGTTGTTGGTGCATACATCTGAATTATAGTGATATTAACCAGACTTCTTATGCATAGGGCTATTTTCCTGTCACTCATAGCATTGTATTTCTGGAATAATCTAGAAATAACTTTTTAAATTCCAAACGTGACCCTGTTTTTCTCCCCTCTTCATATCCAGTACTCTAGCATATATCATATCATGTCTGGTTCAAAATGTCCCATGCCGATCCATCTGATTTAGCCAATGCCTAGTATGTCAATATTTATGAGTTCCATTTCTTTCTCAACTATGCCCACTTTTCCTACATTCATGCTTTTTACATTCCACCTTCCAATCATTAAAGTCTGTTTACAACTCTTCCACCTCAACCTAGTATGAGGGCTCAGCCTCAGTTCCTGTATCTGCTTATCTACTGTTTTACTCTATTGTACATAGGGTTTATGAGGGCCTGTTATTTCAGAAGTGAATACCAATTATTTTTCCTAATCTGTCTTAATTTGGATGCTCAGCTTTAGAACAATATCTGACAGACAAGCATTTTGCCAAAGGAGCAGATGGAGGACATTTCACTATTACAGAAGTAACCAAGAGATTCAGTGTTGGTCTCCCCATTTGGTGAATGTATCTTGGTCCCATCCCTTCCCCACTCCACTAGCATCCTCTTCTCCCCTCAACCCTACCTAGCACAGTCACCACCTTCTTACCCCTAGACAACAGTTGAGATGATGGCCCAGGCCTTGAGTCACTTCCGCCTCACACTGGTGGTCTCTCACGAGTTTAGGAGACTTTAAGTTGGAATTCCAGGTACCAGCTTTAGAAAAGGATTTCTCTCTGAGACGGTTCTGGAAAAAGGTCTTGTCTCTGAGCTTCTGCTGCAGCACTGACTTTTTGTGATATATACTTGGACCAAAAAGCAATACTTAGAACAGAGCAAGGAAACACTTCATAATTCAGAATCATCAGAGAAGTGTGTCTGGGATGTGTCCTGCCTCCATACCTTTCCAATTTATATGCAATATAGATCATTCAAGAGGCTGGACTTTATGAGGTGGACAGCGGCATCAGGATTGGAGGAAGACTCATCAACAACCTATGTTATGCAGATAACACAGTCTTGCTCACTGAAACTAAGGAGCCCTAAAGTGCTTGCTGCAGGAGGTCAAGGTGTTCAGTCTTCAATATGGATTGAAACTCAACATCAAGAAGACAAAAATTCTCACCACTGGGCCAATTCTCCATGATAGATGGAGACAATGAGGTTGTTAACAATTTCTTCTTTCTTGGCTCCAAAATCAACACTCTTGTACCAGCAGTCAAGAAATCAAAAGACGAATTGCTCTGAGAAAAGCTGCTGTCAGGCACCCCTCAAAAGTGCTTAAGAACAATCATGTCAGTCTGGAGACTCCTGATTCAGGCCATGGTCTTTGACATTACTTTGACATTACTTGCTATACATCAGATAGCTGGACAATGACCAAAGACGACAGAAGAATTGATGCCTTTGAGTTGTATTGCTACAGAAGAATATTAAGCATACCATAGACTGCCAAGAGAACTAACAGGTCTGTCCTGGAGAGGGTGAAACCAGGCTGCTTCTTGGAGGTAAGGATTTTGAAGCTCCATCAACATACTCCAGTCCATGGAGAATACCATGCTTGGAAGGGCTGAGGGCCAGCTCAGGAGAAGATGACCCTGATGAGATGGATTGACACAGTAACTAGAGTAATGGGGGTAGATGTGTTGAAGACAGTGAGACTGGCTCAGGATAGAGAAGAGTTTGGGGTCACTGTACATAGGGTCACTATGAGTCACAGGCAACTCGATGTCACATCACACAATATTTACTTTTATCAGAATTCTAAAGGCTTTGTATATATATTTTTTAAGTGTGAATATATATGAAGAAGTGACTTAGGTTTTGCAGAGTTTTGTTTTGTTAATCTTTTAATACAACTAAAATGGGATGGAGAAAGAGAGGAAGACCTTCAATTCGGTGAGTTGACACAGTGACTACAACAATGGGCATAAATATGTCAGAGATTGTGAGGATGGCACAGATTAGGGCAGGGTTCAGGTTTATTGTTCACGAGGTCGCTATGAGTTTTACTCAACTTGATGGCACCTAACAACAACAGCCACTAAAGGGGATATTTTAAAGAAATATACCCTACTTCACCAAGTGGCACACAAAGGATGTCCTAGTCATTATCTGGTTTGTTTAGAAGATAAATATCTATTCACTGATCTCTTCCGTAAGTAGAGAAATGGAATTCTTATCTTTTTTAAGGGTAAATGTAAATAAACTTTAAAATAAGTTTTTAAATCCCCCATTAGTTCACTACTATTCTTATTTTCAAAGCTGAAAAATGCAAAATTTTAGCACAATAGAAAATGTCCAATATTAAAAGGAGCAAGATCACTTTACTTTAATGGAACATCATCTGTTTCTTGTGGTCTTTAAAGTACTAGGACTAGAAATAAGAAAGTAGATGATAGAAGTACCACCATTTATTATTAATTAAGGAACCCAGGTTGTATAATGTGGTTCGCTTTCAAAGCCACTGGCCATCCCACCACAGAAAGCTAGGACAGCCTCTCTTCCCACAAAAGACTTACAGCCTTGGAAAAGTGATGAAAAGTTACTATAAGTCAGAAATTGACTCAATGGCAGTGAGTAGGTTTTCATATTGAAACAAGATTTCAAATTATTTTGCATTTTAAAATTGTAGGCACCAAATGCATGATTCATCCACTGAAGAATAAAATGACTTACAAACCAAAGATAACCAAAATTTGTTCCTAAAAAAACTTCAAAATATCTTTAAGGTTTTTCCCCCTTTTCATTTCTTTTTTAAAAAACAGTATTGTGTTGTGATGTATGTCAAGTGGGAATCAACTCAATAGGTGACCCTCCAGCAGCTGTTCAGATGCAGTAAATCACACAGGAGCAAAGGATAGATTCGAACTGCAAGCCTTTGGGTTGGCAGCACAGATCTTTACCAGTAGGCCATCAGAGATGGAAATGAAAATATACTTAGCAAAGGAAATACCATTTCAACAAATTCTACATGCACATTTCAGTGACACTGTACATGCACTAAGTTGTGTATACATAGTTTCTCCCTCCTTTTCCAAATCATTGCACTACCATTAACATAAACTTACTGCTTCCTAAGCTTTTCACTTAATCTCTTGAAATGTTGTAATCAATTTAAGGGAGCTCTGGTAGCTCTGTCCAAAGGGAGCTGGTAACGAAAAGGTCATGACTCCCTGGAGATTTGAATCTATGAGCAGCTCCAAAGGTGAAAGATGAGTAATCTCCTCTCCTGAAAATTACAACTTCAGAAATCCAATAGTGGGTCAGCTATGAATCAGTTCTGACTCAATGGCAATGAACTGAGTTGCATTTGGTTGTCAATTTTAGCCTTGAAAACATTATGCTATGTGAAGTATGTCAATCACAAAATGACAAATACTGTATGATTTCACTTAAGTAAGATAAAATATACACACTAAAGTTTATTAGTGGCTACCGAGCGGCTTAGTGGTAATGAGGTGCACCACCAACTCAAATGCACAGGGTTCAAATTCACCAGCAGCTCCACTGGAGTGAAATCAACAATCTCCTCCTGTGCCATACAGCCTCTGAAAATCCACTGGAGGGTCAGCTATGAACTGGTTTTGACTCAACAGCACACAATAACTACCAATGACAAGAAGGAGCCTTCGGTGTAGTAGCTAAGTGGACAGCCACTCATGATAGAAAGACGCAACAGTCTGCTTCTATAAAGGTTACAGTCTTGGAAAGCCTACAGGGTAGTTCTGTCCTCTAAGGTCACTAATGTGTAAAAATGGACTGGGCAATGGGAGTTGAGTTACTAAAGACAAAAAAGAGGGGGAGAAAAGGGAAGCCGTGAATTTGGTAAGCAGTAACTTTCTGTTTGTGGTGGTAAGAACGATGGCATGGGTTAAGAGTTGACAATTTACTAATTCAAGCTGTACATTTGACAAAATATTGAGCTGACAAATACTTATACATATATTCTTTGAAGTATTTTAAACTCATTCAATGTCTATAGTAGATTTATCAGTGACCTATGCAATTGTATACAGATAGTTTTTAGTCTTGGAATATAAAAATATTTACTACCACATACACATTGTCACAATTAAATTTCACATGAAAATCAGAATGCCCAATTTCTCTCAGAAAATCAAAACAGCTGGGAATACTAGCAGCACAGTCCTGAGTAGGAAAAACCTACTGCAGCTGAGCAGAGGTTGCCCTGCCATTCCACATTGCCTCTGGACAATAAAGCTGTCTTTTTCTATTTATCACATGGCTTGTGCTGTAATTTCTCTAGGGCCTGGTGGCTTTATTCATTTAAAGCCAGCTTAACTCCTATGGGCATCTAAAGTTTTTATTCCTGTTTTACTAGTTAAGGAGTTCATGAAATCCTTTTTTTCCACAGGCAATATAAATTTCAATCCAGTTCTATATATAAATTTAATATTTTCTGTTTAATTCTAAATAAGGGTTATATCTTTTATGATTTCACAAGATAATATAGAATCCTTTGGTAGTACTAATGGTTTCACACTTGACTACTAGCCAAAGGTTCATAGTTCAAATCCACCCAGAAGCACCTTGGAAGAAAGGCCTGGAGATCTGCTTCATAAATGTCAGAGACATGGAAATCCTTTGAGTTCTAGTTCTACTCTAACACAGTTGGGGGTTGCCTGGTGTCAAAATTAACTCAAAAGGAACTAATAACAACAGCATGAAAAAATTATACAAAGTGAAGAATCATCTACATTAACAATAAAAATACACAAAGTAAATAAAGACTTACCTACATTAACAATAGACCCTCCCTGTTGCTGAATCATAGTCTTCACAGCCGCTTTACATGTCAGCATGGAACCCAAGAGATTAGTATGAAGCTGCAATATCATATCTTCAGCTTTAGTTCTTACTAAAAGGCTATCCCTATAAAAGCAAACAAGCAAACCAGCATGTAAATTAAAAACTGCATAAAACAAAAAACCTAAAAATCATAAAACATATTACTGAAAATAGAATTAAGTAGTGATTCATGTAAAAACTGAATATTTAAAATGAAAGTCTCATTTTGAACTTAGCTTGAGAGACACTAACATAATAACTGAGGAGCCAGAAAGAGTCCATTTGGAAACCTTGCTCTTAATTTCTTTTGTTTGTTGTTGTT